TATATATATATATATTAATGTTAAATATTAAAAAAGTTATAATTATATAAATATTAAATAAAAATATAGAAAATAATCCTATAAAACCTTTTTAAAAAGATAAAAAATGACCGATCTCAGAAATTAGTTAAAAGATAATATTTTAATATTTTAAAATGATGATATTTTATTACACACCATTCCTTGAGGAACTATTTTTCAAATAAAAAAGTACTTAAAAGTTTTAATTTCATATATTTTGAGCTGAAAGAAATTAGTGGATATAATTTGGTTAAAAGTTGATAAATAAGTTATACGAATTATTAATATATTAACTAATGAGTGCATTAATAATGGTAAATTAGTACAGAAAAATATTTAAAATATGTTTGACTAGAAAAATCATCATATTAACGAGAAAAACTTTTTGAACATATAACAATATTGGTATAGTATGTCACACGATAATATTCTATAATATTAAGATAAATATTTTTATTATAACTAATATCACAGATACATTTTAGATATTAATCGAATTAATCTAAAAACATGTAATTTTTAGATATTGTTTATATTTGATCTATTAATAATTTAAAGTATAACTCATTACACATAGAAATAATTTAGAAAGTATTTTCTAAGTTGTCTTTTTATAAAACCGTCGTCACGCTATCTTTTAATCTATCACTATTACTAATCAAAATTTAGAAACTGTTTTTAAAACTATAGAGAAGCAAATATAATATGAATTTCTTAGAAATGTAGCTAATAGACGTGTAAATTTACAATATAAAACCCTATATAATTATATGCGTATATTTATGTCTTTATATCTTTTGAAAAATTTCAGAACATTTTCTAGGTTAGCTGTAAAAAAAAGTAATTAAAAGTTTTTTTTTTTTTATAATGGTTCTAAGTATTATCGAGGTAGAAAATTTTATATAAATTTGTAATTTAAACGGTGTATTCATATTTTTGTTCTTATTTTATTTTTAATTTCGCAAGAAGTTTCGCATTTCCGGTTCGAGCCGGAAATAAAAGTCCAACCAGACCGGACCGGGTGTCTAACGCGCCGCCATACTCAAAATCATAACTGTCTAAACAGCGTCGTTAGTTCATCTGCGACTCTCTGATTTGTTCCTTTCTCTCTGAAACCCTAACCCTAACCTCGACCGTCTGGAAGCCTCTCCAATGGCGTACCAGACCCCTGATCGAGATTCTGAATCGGATCCGAAGACACCAACGCGTCTCTATAACCCCTACAAGGACCTTGAAGTCCCCATTCGCAACCTCTACCAGCTCCCGACTTCCCCCGAGTATCTCTTCGTCGAGGAGGCTCGCCGCAAGCGTCGATCTTGGGGCGAGAACCTCACCTTCTACACAGGATGTGGCTACCTTGCCGGCGCCGTCGGCGGTGCCACCGCCGGCCTCGTCGAAGGCGTAAAGTCCTTCGAGTCCGGTGACACCGCCAAGCTTCGCATCAACCGCGTCCTCAACTCCTCCGGTCATGCCGGCCGAGCCTGGGGCAACCGCCTAGGCGTCATTGGCCTGCTATACGCCGGCATCGAGAGCGGGATCGAGGCGGCGAGGGACACCGACGATGTCTGGAACAGCGTTGCGGCCGGACTCGGCACTGGCGCATTGTATCGTGCCGCGAGAGGGGTGCGGTCGGCGGCCGTGGCGGGGGCTGTTGGCGGCGTCGTGGTTGGAGTTGCTGTCACCGCGAAGCAGGCATTGAAACGCTACGTGCCTATTTGAGAACGACACATTTTGTGAGCATTTGATTTTTCTTCTTCCTTTATTGGGGTTACTATCAATTTTGAGCGATTGTTAGGGTATAAGCATTGTTATACCAGCATGTGGCAGTGTTTGCCGTTGCAAACAATTGGTTTTACCGTTATGCATATTTTTTCAGCTTGATAATGGCTAACCTTTCTAATGTAATTTGTCGAATCATCATGCATGAATAATTGGGACGGCTTTAATGCTGGATATATAGTATCAAAATATCGTTCCTCTGTCAGTGGGTGCAAACGGAAGATTTTGTAATCGATGTCACAAAAAGATTTTGTGGTACATGATTTGATAGAAGTAATGGTTAGTTAATATTTGTGCTGAAAGAATCCCGGGTCAAGTTTGTGTTCTTATGATTAATGAATTCAGGGGATTTCAGGTGATTTCAGGTAGAATATAATTGGAGATTTTCTGTTTAAGAAGTTTGGTATGCTTTTTGTGCCCTCGTATCTCTTTATATCTTAGGAAACTAGCAAATGTGTTGTGTTCCATCTTTATTTATATAATTTTGAAATAGTTAATAGTGTATTGTCGATGGCCGTTATGCCATTTATTCAGCTAATATTTAATTTAGCTGAAAGAAGTTTGGGCTCTATACGAGTTAACAAAACATATACTCTGGTTTGACTACATATTATTTGAGGGGGAGCTATTTCGTTGATAAACCCACTGTTAATGTCTGCTAGAAACTTTTTCCCGTTAAAAGAATGTATGCCAAAGTAATTAGTGTTTTGACGGAATTCAGTTGACAGTGGATGCGATGTTTTTGCTCTTTCCATCCTTGTAGTTTAGCTTTCATAGACAAATATTGTGAATTCTGATTTTGTCATGTAGGAACTTCGAATTTGGTAATTTAGCCTTACACTTGTGATGCAATAAGCTCCTAAATAAGCTAGGACACCATTAACTATCCCAATCTCTTGCCTCTTAATTGATGCTATTAATTCTTTTGCTCAAACCAAGCAATAAACATATTCATAGCTTTTCTGTGTACAAATTACCACCCATTATGTCTTCTTGCTTGTCTTGCTAGGTGTTGTTTAGGGCTAGAATTGAGTGAAGAAAAGTTTCCGAGCATATGATTGTGTTGGTTTTCTATAGAAGGAATATATCTTGCCGATTAGCACCGAGGGATTTCCCCCCTTCTTTATTTTCCTTCTATGTTGTATGTTTTGCAACTCTAGTTTCCTGTGTATCATTTCTAATAGATTGTGATATTGGGTTTCTCCAACATAATAGGAGTCTTAACGTGGAAATTATCTAGGGTCATCCTAGTCGTGGTGTGGTTTAGGTAGTTTGCTTGATGTTCTAATTTTCTATGTTTAAAGTTTAATCCCAATGTTGCTGTTTTTTGTCATACATAAAAAATACCATTTTAACTGGCCTTAGAGATTTTGAACTCCCAAAAATATAGTTGTTATTGGCTTGCGTTTGAACCCGTTTTTACCGAAGTTATATTTCTGCTCATTCTTCTTTTGGTTAATAAATTAAGCTCAAGTGTGGTTGATTATTCTGATGTTTATTTTTAAGCTTTCACACTCAGTTAGCTGATTATTATTACAGTCTAATAGGTCGTGCTAATCCTTCTTTCTGGGAAAAGGCTTTGAAGCTTTCGCCTTCCAGTAGTTGGCTTGCCTTTTGATAGTAGTGTTTTTCCTTTTCTAACGCCAAATCTACAAATTAAATCTGAATTAAAGCAACCAAATGATAGTGTTACATCGCTTATATTCACGGCGTTACTATAGTTCCGGGCTATTTCTTTCTTCACTTCCATGCTTTTTTCTTCTGCTTCATGGAATCTAGGGACTGCCAAAAAGGCCGGGCCTGCTGGGCCTTCCGCCCTTTAAAATGGGATGGGGTTAAATATTGAGTGTTTTTCTCCCTTCACCCTACCACCACCAAATACTCTCATCATTTCATACCTAATTTGTCCTTCTTATGAAATGGAGATCAACATGATCTTACTTTGAAGGATGATCCGTTTAGAAAATTTTATATTTTAGTTTATTATTTTTATTTAAAAAAATCTTAACGGATGTGATCACATCTTTTAAATAATTTTATAAAAAATATTTAAATAATTTATTAAATAATAATACATAAATTAAATTAATTATTATTATTTTATTAAATAAAATAAAATTAATTTATATAATTATTTAATAAATTTAAAAAAATTAAATAATATTTATATATTAATTTAAAATATAATAAATTAATAAACTAAAAGAAAAAATCTGTCGTTTAAGTAGATTTATAAAAAATATTTAAATAGTTATTTAAATAATGATATATAAATTAAATTAATAATAATTATCTTATTAAATAAAATAAAATTAGTTTATATATAATTACGTAAT